CAGCTCAGAAGGGCATTGGGAACAACACCAGAGGCTCAAAACACCAGTTCCTCATAGATAGAGCAGTCACCAGAGACTCAAGATCTAAATAGACCAAACTGAGCACAACCTAGACTGACCTCAGGAAAGCCTATGACTCAATGACACGCACATGGATCTGTGAATGCCTGGTGTCAAAGTCAACAGGACACTAAGGACTCAAGAACTCAATGGAACTGTGGAAGACAACACTGGAAGTCAACTCAAGACAGTTCGCACAAGTGGCCATCAAGTGTGTCATATACCAAGGTGATGCACTGTCCCTGCTGCTGTTCTGCATAGGCTTGAACCTCCTCAGCCAAATAATCACAAGGACCGGATATGGATACAAGTGCAAGAGTGGAATCACCATCAGCCACCTCCTCTCATGAATGACATCAAGCTGTATGCTAAGACTGAATGAGACATCAACTCACTTATCCACCTGACACGGATCTACAGTGAGGACATTGGGATGTCATTCGGACTGGAGAACCGTGGCTGGATGATAGTAAAGGGAGAGAAGGTAGTTAAGACCAATGGGGTGGAACTACCAGTGGGCCACATAGCAGACATACAGACCAGCTGCCTTGGTATCCCACAGTCACATAGGAACCATGACGAGGAGACAAAGAAGACAGTAGCATCCAAGTACCACCAAAGGATAAGTCAGGTCCTAAAGAGCCACCTGAATGGGAAGAACAAGATCTACACCATCAACTCTTCCTTCCTTCCAGTCATCAGCTACCCTGCCGGTATAGTCAGCTGGCCAAAGGAGGACATGGAGGCTGCTGATGGAAGCTCCTCACAATGTACAGAGGTTTCCACTCCAAGTCCAACACCCAGAGACTGTACACCAGCCAGAAAGAGGGTGGGTGGGGTCTGGTGAGAGTCAAAGCCATTGTCCTGGATGAAACCCAGAACATTCAGGAGTACATCAGTACCTCAGTAAATCAGTAAGATGACACCCAAAGATGAGCTGCTGAGAGAATGCCTGAGGCAGCAGCAGACATGGGAGGAAGTTCAAACAGTGGAAGTACAAGGCAAGACCCTTCATGGGATGTACCACTGACAAATAGCCAAGTAGGCTGACACTGGGAAATCCTACCAGTGGCTGGAAACGGCTGGACTAAAAGACAGCACTGAGGCGCTGATCATAGCAACACAAGAACAAGCACTAAGCACCAGATCCATAGATGCAGGGGTCTACTACACTAGACAGGACCCAAGGTGCAGACTGTGGAGAGAGGCCTAAGAGACAGTCCAACTAGTGGCCAACCAAGTAACTGGCATTGCGTACAGGAACATCTGCACAGTGTATGGGCTAGATCCTCCCAAGTCCAGATGGGAGATTCCACAGAAGGTCATGGAGAATAACAGGGCTAAGATCCTGTGGGATTTCCAGTTCCAAACAAACAGGCCAATCAGCCAGATGTGGTAGTAGACAAGGAGCAGAAGACAGTAGTGGTGATAAATGTAGTGGTGCCAAGTGATAGCAACAACAGGAAGAAGGAATATGAGAAGCTGGAGAAGTACCAGGGCCTGAAGTAGGAACTAGAGAGGATGTGGAAAGTAAAGACCAAAGCGAGCCCAGTGGTGGTAGGAGCACTTGGGGCTGTGACTCCTAAGCTGGGATAGTGGCTCCAACAGATCCCAGGAACAACATCAGTCCAGAAGGGTGCAATGCTAGGAACAGCTAAGATACTGCACAGTACCCTCAAATTTCCAGGCTTCTGGTAGAGGACCCAAGATTGAGGAGGACCCATACCACCCATAGGGGTGAGAGGGGATTTTATAGATACATGTACATACATACATTCCCTTGCCTTTATTATTTTTATAAGTAACTCAAGGCAGTGAACATACCTAATACTCTTTCCTCCTCCTATTTTCCCCACAACAACCCTGTGACTTAAAGTGGGCTGAGAGAGAGTGAGTGGCCCAAAGTCACCTAGCCATTTCATTTCAAAATGAAATGGCTGATGCATAATAACAAGTCTGCTACAGGATCTCGTCAAGTGTCTTGCTTATCAGTGCCTAATGCATGGCTGTAAATAAAGCAATGGTATTTGTTTTTCTCTGTCAAGTGCTGTATGATATATAAGAGGCCTAAAAAAAACCCATTTTGTTCTTGACAACTGGCTCAACATAATTTTTTTGTTTTTCTTCCTCTAACACACAGAAAGCAGATACCATTCACTGGATTACAGAAGCATACATGTACTTCTTTGGGGTTTTTTTAGCTCATCTGATTTGTAAAGTTTTCAAAATTCCATCAGCTTATGAGCTGCTCCAGGGCAGGATTTCATAGGAAGAGGTGCTATGCAGAATCATAAATGTTGTTATAAATTATGTTTGTAAGATTTAAACATTTTAAATATAATGGAGCAGAATTCTTCTCTTCATTTATTTCTTTTGCACATATTTAATGTCCCTGCAGTGCTTCATTAATGTAGCCAAGCCTATATATAACCTATTGGAAATTTTTAAGTTACTTCCCTCAATTCATAATTAACAGCCTTGCCAGCAGAACAATCATGCCATGTTCTCCAAAGGACATTTTTACATAAACATCAATTATGGATTAATATAAAGAGAAGGGATTTGATCTAATGAATTTGACTTAATGGTGAAGGAGAAGGAGAAGGAGAAGGAGAAGGAGAAGGAGAAGGAGAAGGAGAAGGAGAAGGAGAAGAGCCCTCATTATTAAAATTAATCAATTTCTATTTGAAGCAGCAATTACAAAACAGTTGGCAAACTTGTTTAAAGTTTCCATAGGAATGTATATGCTCTGAGATTTCAACAGGGGGATTGTCATAGAATGCAGTAAGGATGCTTGAGAAATGTGATGTCTAACACATAACATAGTCACCCAGCAGATTTTTCATTTTTTCCCAATGTTGCATGGCAGCTTCTCAGAATGTAAGTTAGTGGTGGGCATCCTCATCAATGGTTGCACTGAACCTGATGTATTGATTGTACTTACTCAATGATGATGATTATGGGTTTTTGTTTGTTTTGTTTTGTTTTAATTAGGCTTTAATTGTGGTTTTAGTATGGCTATATGCTTGTTGTTTTTATTTACATTGTTATTGTTCTTGTTGTTTTAACTGTTGTGAGCCACCCAGAGTCACATAAGTGAGATGGGCACAGGTAAACAAAACAAACAAACAAATAAATAAATAAAATAAACAAATATAAAAAAACCCTTATTAATATTGCAGGCCATGTTCTCTTGAGGATAATCTGCTAGCAACAAATCCAGGGATAGAATGTGACTGAACCCAAATTGTGTGGGATCATCTTTCTGACGTTGCCATTTCTGGCTTGGACCTTCGTTTCTGTCTTGAATTTCTATTCTATTATTTCCCTTCTTTATCTCTCCCCATCATTCTGTTAGGAACTTATTCCTGCATAGGCCTAAATCTGGGATAGTACGATCTCTGGATGTGATCTTAAAGTCCCCTACCAATTTACGGACCACTCTGATTATAACTGCTAAAAATTGGTGTTACAGTTTTATGTCATTTGGAGACAGGAAATACGCTCAAATTGGGTGGAAGCTTAAAAGAACTATAACACCCTCTAACCAAAGGACACCACATAAAATTCCAGCTGCACATTTGTCTTGGGTCCTGCCCACTTTGTACTATTACCCTTTCGTCTCAGGCTCTTGGTAATATAGTACTTGGTAGTAGTAAGAGTGATACTACTACTACTAATACCGAAAATGTTCAGTGTGGCTCATAATTACTACACACACACACACACACACACACACAAACACATACTTACCATTAGGTTCCATAAGGTGTGCACAGCCTAGCTTCCATAGGCTGTGTTTATGTGAGAGCTGGAACTGATGAATGGGGTGAAATGTGTGTGTGTACGTGTGTGTGTGTGTGTGTATGAAAGAGAGACAGCATGCAAGGATGGTGATACCCTCTATTGGCTTTGTATTCCAATAATCCTTTTTTCAACGAAGTAATTCCCCATCTGCAACCAACAATGGTGTTATTTTTCTGCCAGAAGTTTGAATGTACTGTAACAGTACCTTGGAGCCTCTACTGAAAATTATGTGGAGAATATAGAGAGGTATCATTTTGGTGTGATCTTTCTAGGTTTGGGGATACAGATCTTCTTTCATCTCTTCATATAGCCAGGACCAGAAATACTGGAAAAAGGATAACTGTTTTGGCATTTGGCCTCTGTACACCACCACATTGAAGTTGAAAGGAAACACACCCAGATGGGAGTGAAGTCAGGACTTGCAGCTGTAATTCAAGGGGGTTGACAAAAGTGGGGTGCTAACCATCCAGGAAGTGCAGCCAATGATATACACACATACTTATGGTGGCTCATAAGTAATGGAACAAACTAACATCATGACAAACATAAGGATTGCCTTTAATACCTGGATGAAAATCCTTTGCAGTCAATGACTGCCTGAAGT